GAGGTCTATGAAGTATGCTGCTGGGATCTCAATTGGAATTGCATTAAATCTACATAGCAGTTTTGGAAGTATGGCCATTTTCACTATATTAATCCCTCCTACCCAGGAGCAGGGGATGTCTGTCCATTTCCTGGTATCATCTTCAGTCTCTCTTTTCAGAGTGCCATAGTTTTCAGAGAAGAGGTCTTTCATTTCTTTCGTTAGGTTGATTCCTAGGTATTTAGGATTTCTTTTTATACTCAACTTTTTCATCTTTTCATTCTGAGGAAACTATTGCTTTGTTTTGTTCAGCAGTGAACTCAGTGTTGATAATTTTATTTATTTATTTATTTTTTGGTACTGGGGATCGAACTCGGTCCTTCCGCTTGCGCAGCAGGCAGCGAAACCACCGAGCTAAATCCCTGGCCCAATGTTGATAATTTTAGAAGAAAATATTTTATATTTGTCAAAAATGATTGTATCGCCAGGTTTGGTGGCACACCCCTCACCTGTGTGGTCACAGCACTGGGCAGGCCAAGGCAGGGGTATTACAGCAAGTTCCAGGCTAGCCTGAACTACATTGCAAGACCCTGTCTTAAAGGGGAAAGAAACAGCAACAAAAAGATGGTATCTTTGGAGTGAGAATAAATATAGGTAAAGCTTTTAGGGCAGGTCCTAAAGCAGATTATTTTACTTAACTTTTTGGGTCACGACATTTAGCCCTTTTACTTTTACTTACTTTCTTTCAAACTTCTGATTTCAGTTTTGGAAAAATGAAGATATTTTACATTTGTTTCTTACTTAGGAGATTCTGTCTGTTCATTTTAACTATCATCCCTATGACTTTCCATCTGCATTTTGGCTTTTCTTCGGTTGTGGCCGTCATTACCATCCGTGTGTATTTTACAGTCGCTTTGCAAACTGAAGATGTCAGAAAATGAACTCATCTCTTCATATCTGTTTATCTTAGTGTCTACTGGATTTCACTTACTAGCTCTGCCATGGCCCATAACTAGTACCTTCAACCTCAAAGTTGTGTCCAGCTCTGGGTTTCCTTCGATACCCACTTTCAGTCATTCCCCACCTCACCTCACCACAGGCAGTGGACCCCCAGGGTCTGGCACGTGCTAGGCAAGTGGTCTGCTGGGCCGTGCTCCTCGCTGCCCCAGGAGCTGCCGGCTCTCCATCATTCTGTCTCCTGTGTTTGGTTTTTTTTATCTTTGCTGGAATTTTTCAGCCTCTCCCTTTTCCTCTCACTGACTTCTCTTCTACTAATCTGTCTGTTCATCTTTTCATTCCCTTTTCACAAATATATGTTAGTTTATGTTGTTGTGGTTAACACTTTTCATGATCTAATCTCAAACTATTTAACCTAATCTGTCTCATCCCTCTGTAATCTTATGCTGTAACACATTGTACTACATACTGGTGTCTCCAAGCACATTATGTACTTCATTCCTTAAGCCCTAGCTCATGTTCTATTTTTGTTTGTTTGACTTTTGTTTATTTTTAGCTTAGAATGCCCTTTTATAAATTTTAAACAAATTTGATATGTGTGTATTTTTTTTATTTCGATCCAGCTTTCTAAACATTTTTTGTGATTAACTTTCCATGTCATCCTTATTTGTGAAATCTCCAAACTTTCTCTCCCACTGGTCAGTCTAAAAATTACTCTTCTGCCTTCCTGTGACACCTGTAACACATTACTTGCACCTCTTTTTAGTACTTTTCTTTGCCTTACATTTCACTTAGCTATTTGTGCTTTATTTTCCCAGTTCTGTAATACTTATTTTAACATGTTTAAAGATGAGAAATGTCTTGAAGTAGAGTTTTGCTTCTCTCTGAGAAGTTATTAAATCACTGTCGAGTCTTAGAGTAAGTGACGCCGTAGAATTAAGAAAATGGTATATTTCCTACTCTAGTAGATGATACAGTTCACAAGTATGGGGACCATGCCTTTTAGGACTTCCTTGCTGTACTAGTCCTCTTTAATTTCATCTCTTCTCCGCCTCTTTCCCCACTTACACACTCAAACCTAATCACTCACAGACTTTCTCAGTTATAAAAAAGATAATGCAGTGGAAATTGTAGCTTAAATGGGTACATGAGAAAATAAGCAAGAGCAGAAATTAATGGGCTAAGCATCTATCTGGAAACTGTTAAAGAGAACAAACCCAAGGAATATAAGGAAGCAAATACTGGAGGTAGGAAGTGATGTGAATGAAATGAACAAGACGCAAAAGCATGAACTATCCTAAATTTTTTCTTTGAAAAAACTAATAGAGTTGTAAACACCTGTGAAAGGCTTATCAGTGAGAGGTAGGGCACTGGCCAAGCAGGAACAGGGCCCTGGGTTTGGTCCTCAGCACTGCAAAGAGAAGGCATAAATAACCAATATCCTTAAAATGCAAGTCTTAAGCTATGGGAAAGTACTATGCCCTATGTTAATAAGTAGGAAAGTATGGGCCCAGTGAATGCATTGTGGGGTCCGTTATAAAACTCGGGCCAAAACCCTTAGCTCGGTTTTTTGTACACGCCACGTCTAATCTCAACAAAGACAATACTCCTGACTCTGTCTGCCCCCATCTTTCCATCCATCTGCACCTCTTCTCTTGTCTGATTACCATTGTGTCTTGCCTCTAGTAGCTTTCCATGTGGGTTCACATACTTCATCTTGTTCCTCCTTTCTCCCCTTAGAAAGACTACACAGGGCTGGGGATTTAGCTCAGTGGTTCTCCCACCCGCCTTGCAAGCGCAAGGCCCTGAGTTTGATTCCCGGTACCAAAAAAAAAAAAGAAAGACTACACAATAGCTACGGAGAGAAAGACACAAGGCTAACTCATTCCTCTTCTCAAAACCCTTTGTAATGGTTTCCTACCTCTTCAGAGTAAAAGGCCAAGTCCTTACAGTGGCCTGTAATGATCTGGCCCTCCTTGCCCATTTTGATGATTCTCCCTGCCTCACTCTGCTATACCACATTGGCTTCCTTTCTCTTCCCGCCATTTGGAGAGCTTGACTGGTTCTCTCAATTCTTTGGATCTTCCTCATGTGTCTGCTAGTTACAGAGGCTCTTCTTGACCCCCAACAACACTACTGTCATCACCCACTACCTCGTATCTATTCTCCTTGTTTGCATTTTTATCTCCCTTCAGTACTTGAGACAATCTGGCATTCGTTCGTTCATTTTATTTGCAGTAATTATCTCCTTGGCATGAAGATACTTTTTTTTTTAATTCCTTGCTGTACCCCAATGCATAGAATAGTGCCTGGCTTACTTAGTAGCTACTTGATAAATATTTGTCAAATAGATGAATGCATAAACAATGAATTAAGCTAGGTTGGAAATGGGAGAGGGAAAGAACATCTATGGTAAGAGGAAACATGGTGCCTCGGAGTAGAAGCCTCCTTCTTTGCAGGGCTTAAATGGAATAGGAGTGCCAGGTGAAACTAGAAAGGTGGCCATGGGGCAGCAGGTCATATTGTAGACCATGTTTGAAGTTTCGCTTTTCGTTTTAAACCCTTTGGAAGGTTTTGAGTAAGGATGTAGTATTAGATTGGATCTATAAAGGTCATTCTGAAGAATAGATTATAGGAATGAGGCAAAAGCGCGAACAGACCGCAAAGATCTAGCCAAGCAGGGTCTTGGCAGTCAGGAGAATGGGTGGATTTGAGAAAAATTTAGAAGGTCAAATAGACGTCTTGGAGAAATTGACGATAGGCAAATGCCTCTCTGAGGATTTATGTACACTATTTGGTTAAATAGCATTTGCATGCTATTTGATTTTTCAGTAGAGTGTTGCAGCCAGACGTCCACGTGGGTGAACTTTTATATTTTAATTCATACTCAGATGTTAAATAGACATTAATGCTTTTGAGCAAGAGTACTTTGAGTGTCTTGAATTTAGAAGTAGGCTGTGTGCACCAGCTAAAACTGTTTACTGGCACCTATAGCTTGAGGTTTTCTTGTAATGTGGATATTTTATTACCATGCTAATGTTTATGCTTGCCTGGAGTTGCTGTATTTACTTAAACTGCATGTAAAAGTGTTAGCGGTGCACAATGTTTGTCCCAGAATAGTTCATTATACCTGAGCTGAATTTCGTCTACTGTGTGTAAAAGCGAATTTTCCGGGCTGGGGATTTAGATTTAGCTCAGTGGCCACCACACTTGCCTCGTAAGTGCAAGGTAGTGAGTTCGATTCCCGATACCAAAAAAAAAAAAAAGAATAAAAATCTAAATGAATTGGTAATGAAACACTTGGTGTTCTTTACAACTTTCCTGAAATTGTATAAGGAAGTTAAACATTTAGCAAAAATAATTTTTTTTGTGTGGCCTCTAAAAGACATTTCTGTTAAAGGTATCTGTTTAAATTAGAGGAAAAATGTTTAACTACACTGTTATTTCTTCATGTATTTAGTAACACCTTTTCAATTGTGTTGCTTTTCATATAAAAGGTATTTTAAAGGTGTTATAGTAATAGTATAAAATAGCTGTTTTTGGTTGACAAAAGCACAAATACAAAGGAAAATAAATCCATGTTTCTATAATAATCGCTTTTATTAGTAAGCATTTGTTTTATTATCTAGGCTATCAAGTATTAGCTCCGACTGCCTATTACGATCAGACTGGTGCCTTAGTGGTTGGCCCTGGAGCAAGAACTGGCCTTGGAGCTCCAGTTCGGTTAATGGCTCCAACACCTGTTTTAATTAGTTCAGCAGCAGCACAAGCTGGTAAGTGTAACTAACATTTTTAGGGATATTATTCTACTGTTTGAGATACCATTTTAAAAATACAGAGTGCTGCTCTGGTTACTTTGAAGAAGTATCTGAAATGTATTTTACAGCAGCAGCAGCAGCAGCTGGTGGAACTGCAAATGGTCTCACAAGCAGCACAAGTGGTCTGTTCCGACCTATCGGCACCCAGCCACAGCAGCAGCAGCAGCCGCCGCCCAGCACTAATCTGCAGTCGAACTCATTTTATGGGAGCAGTTCTTTGACGAGTAACTCCCAGAGCAGTTCCCTATTTTCTCATGGACCCGGTCAGCCTGGAAGCACATCTCTTGGCTTTGGAAGTGGTAGCTCTTTGGGTGCTGCTATAGGCTCAGCCCTCAGTGGATTTGGTTCATCAGGTAAGTTTGTTTTTAAGATGAGTGTACTCTGCTAAGTGGCTGTGAGGTATCCGTGTGTTCTAAATATTAGATAAGCAATTGTATGATGTAGAAAGGACAGGAATAAAGTGTAACAAGCTCAATTTTGTAGAAGCAAAAATATCTCCTGCAAAACTTAGATTATTAACATTTAACTTATTTCTAGTAGCACACTCTTTACTCAAAGATAGTTATTTCTTTTTTCCCCTAGCTTTAAAAGTTTATTACTGTAATTTTGTTTTAGTAATATTGTTTAGAACAATATATGCTGACTAGTAGTTCTTCCTCATGCTCCATATAATATTAATGTTTGAGGAGGTAAATACTTCACCATTTAAAATTTTGTGCTTTTAAAATAATTGTGTGCCTATCAGATGATTTATTCTTACTAAGTGCTGGTGGTTTGTGTTTCTTTGTCATATATGTTTGTATGTATAATGAAACATTCTAAATAAGCCCCTAAGAAACTACCAGTATACTTTATTTTAAATTAAATACTGTAGCTTTTGTCACAAAGAATTCATTTAAAGAGATATCTTAGCATTATATAACACTTAAGAAATCATAATTTTAAACAGCTTCACAAGAGATTTTCTATTCTGTTAATGTCATAGAATCTTTAATATTGATTTCTCATCTATTCCCCCACCACGTCAAATTATATTCATTTGTGGTATGGGAAATGACAAAACCAATATGCCAGTCATCACAGGCTTACCAGTTCTCTGGGGAAGTGTCTTCTGATCTTCCAGCCTTCATACTTGTAGAAGGAATGTTCCAGAGCAGCTGTAAACTTTAGGTGCAGAATGCTGTTTTTGTTGTAATGAAATAAATAAGGAAATGTCACATTTGGCTAAAACAAATTTTTCTGAAGAATGGGCACAAGAACTTCTGAGAGAAAAATCTAGTGAACATGGAGTCTCTTCAGTCTTTCAGTTTTCTACTTAGGTTTTTAAATTCCTTTTGGAGTTTAGTAGTTTTGTGTCAAGCTCACACATTCCTATAAGACTCATTCCTTGTTTCTGACACAGTTGGGACATTTTCCCCCAAAGAATCGTACATATTCTGAGGAAAATGGAAAGAACATAGAACTCAAAAATAAACTTTGTGGAAATAACTAGTTTCCAAACTATAGATTGTCAACCGTAAAATAGAGTATTGGTAAGCCCCTTGTGCCTTTTTTTAATGTAATGTGTCACTCACCGATGGCCTGATAGATTATTAAGTCCCTCTACTTAGTTCTTTCTATTTGTCTCTTTGTCAGGATTTTTCCTCTACCTTTAGGGAATGGTGGCATGAACATTTTGTCCTCTAGAAATACCTATTTCCTAAAAACTGGGTTTCATGCCTGCCTTTCTTACAAGCACCATTTGCTCAGTCCTGACATCCAACCTGAGAAAGGTCTGTTTGACCTTTATTTAGACAGTGTTAGTGATTGCCACCCCTGACTGCCCCTTAACAGTCTGTCATCCTCTCCTGTTGGATGTTGTGTGAGATTTACTCAAGTACTATGCATACAACAAATCTGCCCATGCCATTTTACACTATATGGCGATTGCATATGTATATGAAAGCTAAAAAATGTGCACACATAGTTTTTCTCTTTCCTATGTGATGAAATTTTGTTGTTGAACAGTGTTAAATACCCCAGTTTATGATACTAGGTAGCCAGGAAATTTAGCCATTGTAATGTAGTAATTAAATAATCTTTTCTACTGCCTACTACTTTAAAATTGTTGTTACAATTGAAAGTATGTAATTTAACATTTTATGCATAGTAAATGAATTAGTGATTCCGTTCTGTCTAGCCTCTTAGATATTTTAGGTACATTTTGTTTCATATTTCATAGTCATATGTTACATATAATTTAGGGATATAGTAAAAGTTTAAAGAGCTAGCTTCTTTATGTTAGAAGTAAGTTCTGATTTGTTTTTCAGTGTTTGGCTTGACACCTCCTTTTCAGAGGAAAGTTAATATTGTATGTATCAAAACTGGTTTCTTTGGTTTCTTACCAGAGGAACAATAATGCTCTTGCTCTCATTAGAGAGCTGGTGTCCTTTTCTTTATCATTTAAATTGTCTTTTGAAACAAGTAGGAGTTTGAAGTATAGTATGTAAGATGAATGTTTTCAAAAAAACACTTTGACAGTGTCCTTTTAAATTAGCGTAGTTAATGTAGTATTATGTTGACAATATTGCTAAAACCAACTCAAAAAGAGCTATTTATTACCTTAAAATTTATATTTGTTTTTGCTATTAAAATGCATATAGCTACCTAGCAGTTTCCTGTTATATGTCTTAAAATGTAAAATTTTTAATAATGTTTAATTTTTCAGAAACTGCATTGACTGGTATTAAAAGTTGAATAGCATTATAATCTTTTGTCTAATTCAGTAGTGTGAGCCTGAATTTTTTTCCTTTATAGAATTTTGAATTTGGCAAAACCAGTGTAATTTTGATTCCAATCTGTGTTACAAATTTAACTTGGAATACACATCATGTCCTCTGCTTAACTGTTTTCTTTAATCCATACCCTGTATGACCTTCTTGTATATAACTTGTGATTAGAAAAGCAACATTTAATAGAAACGTTACAATTCCTTGAAAAGAATTGCCATATTGGTCCGAATATAGAGCTTGTCCTTCAAAATTTTGTTTGGCAGGTTAAGAAATTGTAATGTGAAATTCTCTTAGATGTAAAGGTTTTCACAAAAGAGGCTAGTGCTTAGAAATCAGAAGGAATTATACTTAAAAATAATTGACTCTTAATGAGACTTGAGAATTGGGAGTTTTAACATGTAAAGAATTTGATTATCAAAATGCATGAGAACATGCAGATCTTGGGTTTTCCCTTGTAAGCATGCATAACTCACCAAGGCCTACATACAATTTTGTGACGTACAAAAAGGAAAAATGTAGTACAGGGTTAATAGAAATAAGAGAATTTGGTATGTAGTTGATAAGGGATGTGAAATAAGATAGTTTATTATATTAGAGGGAAAATGTCCTCTATATTCTACTTGAGTGAGGGGCTCAGGAGGCGGGTACTGGAATCTTCAGACTGAAGAGACCTGGGGTAGGAAGTGAAAGCATGTCTTTGATGTGATAGTCATGAGAGCTAATGATTTTCTTTTTTGAAAAAAAAGTGTAGTATTTTCATGTATATTTTTTGTAATTTAATGCTTGGGGAAGAGGGAGAATGTGTAGTGTTAAAAATACTCAAAAGTTGTCTCCCACCTGTGTTTCACAACTGACTGATATTCGGGCCAATATGGATGTAAAGGGTTATCTTTTGAACACAGTAGCCAAATGAGTTGTGACTGGTGAAGGAAATGTTTTAATGTTCATTTATTAGTATAATCTTGGCATTGAGTCTAAGAACCAGCTTCCAGGAATTAGGGTAATACCAAAAGCTAACCTTACTGGAGTTTAATCTTTAGCATGTCTTGAAGCAGACAACTTGCAATTCTAGGATTTACAGATCATGCCAGGGTATTAAAGCACAGTAATCATGTGTCAGTGATAAATATGAGTGAAGTAATGAAACATGACTGGTCTGTTAAGTATTCGGTTACTTTATTGGGGTGGATTTATACCCTTTTATGATTAATAAGGTAGTGTATATAGTTATCACAGTAATTATCTTCTCCATAATGTTTCTAAAAATAATTATTGTGATCACTTCTGTTATTGCCCAGCAAGAGTTGGGGGTAGGTTTTATTCAGTTAACACTGTATGTAATTAGGGTTTTTTTTATTTCTTCTTCAGTTGGCAGTTCTGCAAGTAGTAGTGCCACAAGGAGAGAGTCTCTATCTACTAGCTCTGACTTGTACAAAAGATCTAGTAGCAGCCTAGCACCCATAGGGCAACCATTTTACAATAGTCTGGGATTTTCCTCCTCTCCAAGTCCAATAGGCATGCCTCTGCCAAGCCAAACTCCAGGACATTCACTTACGCCACCGCCATCACTTTCATCACATGGATCCTCATCCAGTTTGCATTTAGGTAAAAAAAAACCCAAAACCCTTTTTATTTGTATGTATACATGTATATGTGTTTGTGTGTGTTTATAATATATGTAAAATATTTGATGTTGGATAAAACATGCCAAATTGCTTTTGCTTTTGGATATTAGCCGTTTTTGAAAGCTCTACTTTGCTGAAAATTCCAAAGTGAGGGTCTAATTACAGTAAGGTAAAGACCCCTATTGAATCTTATGTTCCATTTATGAAGTACAATGGTGTGTTTTTTCTTGTCTGTGCTTTTGATTTGTGTGTTTTAGAGCATCTGAAAAGTCAACTATCAAAAGTTTTTGCACACCCTAAGAAAAATAGTTACACAGTAACCAAACTTAAATAGTTTAGTACAATGGCTTTTGTTTTGGCCTTCAAATGTTTGGCCATTTTACAGGAGTTATGTCAAGGGGTATGAATTTAGTATGTTTGTGCAATGGAGACGCTGATTGGCTTGGGCCATATACTTCTCTAACTTCTGAATATGCTGTTAAGGAAAAAATTGTTTTAGTCTTGTTGTATCCCTAAACTTGGAGCATTTAGAACTTTTGTTTATATCCAGATTTTAAAATTGTCCCACCCTCAGATGATTAGATGTGTGGTTACCTTTTATCCTCTCTGATAACAATAAATTTTGAAGGGTTTTTGGACATTGGACTATGTAAATCCCTGTCTTGTCAAAGAAATTATTTCATTAAAAATTAGGTTTTGAATTTTTGTTACTCTAATTATCTCAGCTAAAACTGAATGATTCTATTCCTGACTTAGAAACATTTAAATTAGTTAAATTAGTTTGGGATTTAAACCTTAATGTTACTGTTGTAATCAGAGACCATAAATTAGTAATTCTGTTTGATTCTAACTCCCAATCATGCAAGTGTAACTACCTTTACCTCAAGCTTATTAATAAGTCATTGTCCATATAAGGGTATCTTTTGCAGTGATTATCATTTGAATTTGTTATTGTATAATGAGCTAAGGTTCTTGTTTATAAAGGCTCTGGTCCTTCAAATTAATAGACATTTGCCTTTTGGCTTTTTAAGGGATATTGAATATACACAACCAATTAATTTATTCAGATGGCATCCGATAATCTGCTTTGCAGCACTATTCATGTAGACTTTTCAAACATGGTTAGTTCTTAGCTTAATACCTTCCTTCATTTATCATCTATTATGAGCTGCTCAGTTCCTGCGTTCTATTACTACTCAGATATGCTCCTACCTCATAATAATACATGCCTTTGAAACAGATGCAGAAATTTAGAACATGAGAAATCTAGGAAGAGATTTATCATAATAGTTTTGTGTTTTATTGTTAAGATAATATTTGTCATGTCCTGTCATCTTTTCATAGGTAAGTTCTGAGATCAGATTCCTGTTCAATTGTTATTGCTTGTGTTGTGCTTTGCAACCTGTATAAATGGCATTGTTGTACATAGCTTGCTTAGAAACTGGCTTTAAGTGACTTTTTTAGTGCCTCTGTAATTAAACTGAAATCTAGTTACATGCTTCTCTACTTTTCTATAGACTTTTCTTTAGAATCTAGCTGCTTAGAAAAGAGTTCTAGTCAGTTACGGGAAATAATCACCACTTGAGCCAGCAGATCTGTAATACATTATAATACTTTGGTTCCCATAGGTAAATCCTTACTTTAGCTTTGTCTTGTAATTCTGTATTCCAGTACAGCTCTGCTTGGAATTAATAATTAATCTGTATTACTTTCTTTGGTGATCGCCCAGTTCCTCTTAGCTTTAGTTGTGATATGACTGGCGATGCTGTTAACAACAAAATAGACCCAGCCAGATTGAAAATAATGTAGAACTCAGATTTCCATAAACTTGCTCTTCACATACTGTTAAATGAAAATAATCTATCCTGTACTTTCATGATTCAACCACAGTGCAAGGCCTGCACGCACTCTGATCTGAAATACATTTTTTTAGTTATAAATCCTTGAAGTGAATTTCTTCCTTAATTGTCTTAAGACTGCTGGTACATAAAATATCTATAAAAAAAGGAATTGGTGTGTTCATTTTTATCAGTCATTTTATTCAGCCTACATTAATAATGTCATAAGATAAACAGTTCTGTCTTATTTGAATTGATTAGAATTGCTGGTGACGTAGCTCAATGGTTCTGCCACCTGCCTCGCAAGCACAAGGTCCTGAGTTCAATCTCCGGTACAAAACAAAACAAAACAAAACAACAACAACAAAAATATATACATATGAATTGATTGGAATTAATTCTAGGTTATTAGGAAGTTTTTTTGGGTTTTTTGTTGTTGTTGTTGTTTTGGGTTTTTTTTGGTGCCGGGGATCGAATTCAGGACCTTGTGCTTGCGAGGCAGGCGCCGAAACCACTGAGCTAAATCCCCGGCCCAGGAAGTTTTATTTTAAGATGTATACATTACAGCCATTATGGCATCAATATACCTTGAGTTCTGGATTCTTAAAACTATTTGATGAAACAAACTTTTTTTTTAAACCCAGCTCTCCCTTCTCTTGTGTTAGTTATTTGAAATTCGCAGAAAATGCCGAATAGCAACATTCTGTAAGGGTTTCCAAAAAAAGATGATTCATTTAAAAAAAAAATAGAGTATTTAATCAACATAAATATTATTAATATGGCCAGTAATCACTTTTTGATTGAGGAGTAATTGTTTCAATTTGTAGGTTTTGAGTGTTTATTTTTTATAATAATCTAAAATTTTCTGTTCAGATTTGCCGCTGTTACTTTCATACATGTAATGTCTAAGAGACATTTTTTAAAAAATAAAAATAATTTAAAAATAATTATCTCCATGATACGATGGTAACCATTATACCATGTCTTTTTAAATTAATAATTTTTCATTAATTCTGATTTCCCTTTCTGATGTAAATATACAGTTGTTTTGTTTATAAATCAGGGTCCATATATGGCCCATACATTGCATTCATTTGAGATCTCTTTTAATCTGTACTTGTTTCTTCATCTTTTTTTTTCTTCTTTCCATTTGTCAAAGAACTTTGTCCTGTTGAATTTTCCACATTCTTGATTTTGCTGACTACTTTCGAATGATTGTGTTCATCATGTGCCTGTATCTCTATTCCCTGTAAATGGAATGTGATCTAGAGGCTTGGTCAGGTGGTTGGTAGGTTGATTGGTTTATTTTGCCAAAATATGGTTTTTTATACTTTCTGTTTTACCATATGAGAACATACATCTACTTATCTGCATTATGAAATTTCCAACCTAACCTACCTGATTTAGCAACCTTTTGCACATTGCCTAAATATTTCATCTTCAGAGATTGCAAACTGTTGGTACCTTAGTCGTTCCTTCTACGTGTATTATCTGGAAATTTTCTATGAAGAATATTTCCTCTTTGATTATGAGGTTGTCCTGACATCATTTCATAGAGGAATCAGGATATGGCCTGATTCTTTACCTTATTTCCTAACTTTCAGAATAATTTATTGGTGTCCTAGCAACTTCCAAAGGTGAGGTGTTTTATCCTCATCCTTAACTACAAATTAATAGATTTGGAAGATAATTGATATGTTTAGCCCATTGCAGAGTTGATGTCAGTTTTATTCCTGTTTTTGATTCTAAAATTATACAGTACCATCTTTAGCCACTTGGAGCCCCTTTAGGACTTCCATAGTACTGTACCTTTTTAAAAGCAGCACTTATTGGAGGTTAGAGAATGAAGCAGAAAGGAATGAGAGGAACTTTAATAGTTTTTGTCTTGAAGTGTAAAAGACTGTAAAATTCTAGGCTTCAAGTTTAACGTTTAATATTACTTCAAAGGATGCTTTTTTTTTCTTTTTTAGTACCAGGGATCGAACTCGGGACCTTGCGCTTGCAAGGCAGGCGCCAGAACCACTGAGCTAAATCCCTGGCCCTTAACATTGAATATTAAATGAATGATTTTCTCATGTTACATTATTACAAAAATTGGAGGGAAAAAATCTACAGTTTTTCTTTAATCATTCTCTCTGATAGTAGTCAGCATTTTTGAGATACAACCCACCTTAGATGGTTCGTTATCTTAGCTGTTTGCACTTCACAATGGTGCAGAAGCATTCTCATATAACAGTTCTTATGGCATCTAGTGCAGTATTCAGTGAAATAAATGCATGAGAGTCAATACGTTATTATAAAGGAAGCTTTGTGTTAGATTTTATACAGCTGTAGGCTAATGTGAGTGTTTTGAGCATATTTACTATAGGCTAGGCTAAATTTACAGTATTTGGTGAGTTAGGTATATTTTATGCGTTACAGATTTAATGGTATTTTCAGTTTACGATGTGTTTATTGCGCTAGAACCCCATCATAAGTTGAGGCACATCTGTAGAACATTGATTATTTCCATTATTATCTTACAATATTATCTTATTCTGCCTGGAGCTCACCAGCTAATTGCTCATTATATCTTTTTTTTTTTTCTTTTAATAAACTTTTACAAATGTGGGTAGTTCCTGATTTGACCTAAATTTTATGCTTAATTAGAATAATATGGAGCTTCTAACATACAAAGAAATACTGTGTATTTTTGTTACTCAGTATAGGTTTTGATTAACTAATGGCTTCTTCCCTTATGCCTCTTCTGTTTAAAAAAGAACTGGCTACTTTTTAAATTTTTCTTTGAGTAAAAGATACTAAAAATTGAAGTTAGTAAAATTATTTTATTGAAAGGCAGCTGTCAATTCTGAAGATTTCATTAATATCATGTATTAAGTGGAATGCATTTTTTATGGATTAGAAAATTTCATGACCTGTCTTAAACAGAAAATCTTATGTTAGAAATATGTTAAGTAGTTGTTGTTTGTGAGAAGTGCTGGGTTTTGGCATAGTTGTTCAACCCCCTCCTCTTAGATGAAATGTTTAAGAATTAGAAACAAGTGTGGCTGGGTGTGGAGACGTATGCGTCTGAGCTAGGAGAATCACCGTGAGTTCAAGGCCAGCCTGAACTGCATAGTGAGACCTTGCCTCAAAAAATACA